GCAGCAGCAGCAGCCGCTGCTGCTACTCCACTTGCTGATGATGGTTGACCGGGCATTCCTGGAGCTGCTGCTGCTGCTCCTGCTAGCGGATAACCTGTTGGGAAACCTCTTGAAGCGTTGAATAAATGTTGCTGTTGCTGCTGCTGCTGTTGTTGTTGTTGCTGGTGCTGGTGCTGCTGCTGCTGTTGGTGTTGCTGGTGCTGCTGTTGTTGTTGTTGCTGCTGTTGCTGTTGTTGGCGCTGCATTTCCAGCAGTGTTTCCAAAGAAGGCTGCTGTTGCTGCTGTCGCATTTGTGCAGCAAATAGTTGCTGTCGCATCAGATCCAAATTCGTTGGGGTGGCTGCCATCGATGTGCTGACCCCGCAAAGATTTGAAGCGCCGCTTCCAAGAGCAAGCATATAACGTTCCATCATTTGCTGCTCCATCTGCAGACGGACCAGGTCGATGGATGACGGCGTCGCTGATGCGCCACCACTTACAGGAACATGTGCCGCTGCAGCGGCTGCTGCAGCGTTCATTTGCGCTGCTGCTGCAGACTGTCGCAGTGCTTCCATCTGTAAAAATAAGCGGATAATTCATCAGAAGATTTCCGGATGCCAGGAACAACCATTCAAAAAAAGTCAAGCCCTCTTGTTTTATGCCATTTGTTTCCAACATAACAAGGACAATATTATTAGAGTATTTCCTCCCCATCGCTCTCTCTGTCACTGCTATTGCTTTTTAGCTTTCGTTAATGACTACGTTTCCCATCCGTATATCATTGCCCTCAATACCGATAGCGATGAACGGATGCGAAACGCGGTCACTCACGAAAGCTGAAGAGCGAGCGCTGATAGTAACAGAGCAAGCGATGCAACAAAAGATGCTTGACACATCTTTCTGAACCATATAAATACACAGACTCACCGCCAGATAAGATAAGCCGCACGTAGGACATCACTGCATTCACGCAAGAAAATGAAGTCCGATGAGCAGGATATGTTACTCGTCTTGCTAGCAACCGGTGGATAATGCACATAAGTGAGTGGTGCTCACGGGGAAGCAAGCAAGCACTCGAAGCAATTTCCGAGGAGGTGGCACACATACACAGAACAGGCGGTGGATACTAACAGGAGGTATGTGACCCAAATCGAAGAGCCACGCATAGTTGTGTTCGGCGTGTAAAAGCATCTTACACTATTATCACTAACCATCTTTAAAACATGTGCGCGCCACCCCGTCAAAATCCCCTCGAGTGCGCATGTTTCTTGCTATCACCAAAGCCAACAGTTCAGCGATATTATTTTACTTAGTTTTATTTCATGAAATCTCAAAAATGAACGTTTGAAAATTACCGACTGCATTTGCTGCAAAACGGCGGTCATTCCGGGATCGAATAATCGCTGTGATGGATAAACTGACTGAGCCTGTGAAGTGACTGCCGAAAGCGGATGCTGCTGGGCAGCTGCGGGCAGTAGATAAGGAGCTGATGAAAGGGTACCATTCGGAAGGCCGGCGGCCGCTGCTGCTGCAACTGCTGCATTTTGTTGCGCATTTTGTAGCGCGGCATACATAGCGGCTTGCGCAGCTGCTTCACTGGTACCATTGGTGATCGAAGCAGTTGCACCGGGCAAATTAGGGGCCAGAGGTATCGAGGAGCCAAGCACACCGGGAGGCAAGGCGCTGCTTGGCAGAGATCCTTGAAGTGGAGGTGGAAGGTTGCTTCCCGCTGCTGCTGCTGCTGCAGCAGCAGCCATCGACGGGCTCAGTAGACCACCACCGAGCTGCAAATGCAATCCGGCGGCCGTTGATGGACTTCGACTGATTGCTGTCGATGAGCGAGTTTGTGACTGCTTCGGCGTTGCGCTGCAACAGACCATCTCATACATTGATAAGTTCCATGGAACAGGTAACAAGTCCTCACTGGAGTTAGCTTGCAACAAAATCTTCATCGTTTTTCTGGCACTTAACGAGAATACTAACAAGTTCTGTTGGAATTTTTGTGCGGAGGTTTTAAATTCAACGACTAGAAAACTTAAAAGTCGAAATTCTAAAGACTTTTGCGCTTCCAAAACCCTGAATTCAGCTTCATATAGGATACGTGAAGTTTCGATGGTAAATTCACTAGTTCGACAACCCAAAAACTTAGCAAGCTGAAATTTTAAGAGGATGTTTCTTGCCTATGAGCCACCGGATTCATTTTAATTCCAGTTCTTACCATATCCATGTTTTACGCACAAACACGTGCGTGATTTGCTGGAAAATCTTCTAACTCGGCAACTAGGCAAGATAGAAAGCTGAAATCCTGGGAAGGTATTTCCTACCCACGCGTAACTCTGGAAAATTTAAACACTTTATTTCACATGAATTAATATTTCACATATACTACAAGTTTCAGTTTTTAATAATTCCACCTCACTACTTCACTACTAGCTAATAATTACTCTTTAAATGGTGTTCATCATCATTCTGCCTAAACCTAACAAAAAACCCCGGCATCTAATATTCAATAAATATTCACCTCCGGCGTGACATTTTGCTCGCATCGGAAAACTGTTGAAATGGTAACGAGAACGGTGACGGTAAGGAGTTGGATTGAGCAGCAGCTGCTATCGCTGGAAATGAACCCGGAAGCCCGCTTGATAAGCTGAAAAAAACCTTTTAAGTAGAAAATGAATAATGCATTGAGCACTTGAGAAAAGATTTGTTCTCAGTGATAAAAAAAAAAAACATTTAAAAGCAACAAAAAAGAACAAAGAGTTTTTCAAGCTGCTTTTATAGGGCCGAGACTGAGGTATGTTTTACATATCCCAGTCTCGGCACTATAAAAGCAGTCTCGGCCCTCGGCCCTACATCTCCAGTCTCAGCAAAAAGAAGTAAAAAATACCCTAACATAGTACCCTCTCCCTTGTAACTTCTTTGCAATGAGCGGAAGCAGGCAGTCCGCCAGCACAGTATTGCGAGAGGAGAAACCGGGCGTGGAGGGAGGAGGAAGGGATGAAATAGGAAACGAGGCTAAGATATTTTCACCAGACATTCGCTGTATCTCCTGCGAAAAAAAAAAAGGAATGCGTATAATTCATGAAAACACGTTAGTTGCTCTCTTTTTTGGCTGATCTCTCAATCAGTGACATCGATCCATACTCGTCGCAAGAGAATGTTTTAATCCCGCTTTACCATCTTCCGGCAAGGGAAAAAAAAGGACTTTAGGGATTCTAACGGATTCTAGGATATCGGTACGCGAGTCAGCGGATGAAGCGGAAACGATCGTCGAAACTCCCCGAAGTCGGTATGGCCAACAATTCTGTTTATACACATATTCGAGCAACTCCAGCGTCAAAAGACTCAGGAACGATCGGTCTTTCGTTGCAGGGACTCCAAAACTTCGATTTCGATGTGCTAGTCATCAATGAAATACGATAATAAAAAAAGCAGGAAGCAGCAAGCTGCGCCAGTGATGAAGCAAGAATGAGAGACAGCAGATGAACAAAGCGGATTATTGAAAGGTACCAACGGAATGAAAAAAGAAAGAACCAGGACAGTGGAAGAACCTGTCAGCTGTATTAACAAGCGAAATGAGACAAAATGCAGCTGACCAAAATATGAAAAGTAAAGTACACATGACTGACTCCTTGCGCTGCGTTGGTTGCTGCACCTGCACTCATTGTTTTCGCTATACTACACAGTGAGTTTTCCCAAAACTGTCCAGGATTAAAGTCGGAAAAAAAAA